AATGCTTTATTATTATTGAGTAACAGTCGCTGTTTCAGTTTGATGAGAGCTCAGAGGGAACAAAGCTCTGTGTCCCATCCTGCCCGAGGGACACAGTTCTCTTGTTTCTCTCGACGATGCAAAAACATTCATAATAGACACTGTTCAAAAACACCTGGAGCACCCCAACACCTCAGCCAGACTCCTGTTTGCAGACTTCTCCTCTGCATTCAACACCCTGCAGCCTCACATCCTGGCTGACAAACTTTCAACTTGCTTCCATCTGAACGACCAGCTCATCCTGTGGATATTGGACTTTCTGACCAACAGATCACAGAGAGTTCTGGTCAACAACACCTTCTCCAACCTCCAACACACCTCAACTGGCTCCCCTCAGGGCTGCGTGCTCTCACCTCTGCTCTTCATCCTCTACACCGATGACTGCAGAACCACACAGCCAAACTGTCACCTGGTGAAGTACGCAGACGACACAGTTCTCTCTGCTGTCAGGCCCCTCTCAGCACCATGGACCAGTTCTTCAGGAGTTTGTGGAGTGGTGTGACAGCTCCTGCCTCGAACTGAACGTGAGCAAGACCAAAGACATGGTGGTGACCTTCTCCAACAAGCAGAGGGAACTGGCTGCATCAGCAATCACCACAATCCATGGGAATCCTGTTGAACTAGTAGAGGAGTATAAGTACCTGGGTACCATCTTCGACAGCCCGCTGAAATCCGCCTCCAACACCGAGGAGATTCTCAGGAAATGTCAGCAGCGAAAATACCTCCTAAGGAAGCTCAATTCCTTTGGAGTCAGTAAGAACATTCTTCTGACCTTCTACTACTCCTTCATTGAGAGCATTATTACTTTTTCTATAACCTGCTGGTTCCACTCCACCACCCTCCAGAACAGAAAGCGCCTGCAGAGCACGGTCACAGTCTGCTCTAAGATCATTGGACTACCTGTAAGGACTTTGACATCCATCTATGAGCAACAGACAATCAGGCTAGCAGGTCGGATCATGCAGGACCCCTCACACGCTCTCTTCCCAGCGTTTGAGTGGCTCCCCTCAGGACGCCGGCTTCGCTGTCCCTGCTGCAGGACACAGAGGAGAAGAGCAACCTTCGTTCCCAGGGCGTCCAGCTCCTCAACTCCTAACAACTCCTGTTGTTTCTTATCCATCATTGCACTACGGTCACTTTATTTATCTAATTTTTACCTTTACAGTTATATTGTTTATATTAGTTCTGTTGTTCCATTATTCACCATGCACCTTAATAACTTATCATTTAGTATTTGCCTACTTGCACATAGCTCTGTATATATATATTTATTTCTCGTTCACTGCACATAGTTCTGTTTACATCTGTTTACGTCTGTTAGTCCGATCACTGTCCACTTATATCTACTCTTTTATATTTTGTATTTTTAAGTTTAAGCTTTAAGTTGTATTTAAATTGACACTTTATATTTAGGTTAAAATGTTTTGTTTACTTGCGCTGTTGTTAATTTACTGCTCTGTGTGCCTTTGAATTGCCCCCTGGGGACAAATAAAGTTTTTTTGAATTGAATTGAATTGAATTCTCTTGATCCAGTTTTCATATTTTTAAAGCCTCTTGACACCACCTTTCTTTGCTGGAGTTCTTCGACCAACCCTTCCTTCCTTCCTTCCCTTCCTCTTATCCATCCTTCCTCGTTCCATCCTTCCTCGTCCCTTCATTTTCTTGGTTTAATTCTAGGATCAGTCCCGGTCGAGATCAGCTAGACAGAACCCCCATCCTGAGTCCCCCCCCCCCCCCCCCCCCCCCCGCCTGCAGTCAGTCCGTCCTCCCAGACCAGCCACACCTTCAACATCCTCTTCATCAGAATCCTTACGTCAACATTCATCTGATTTATCATAAGAGCTGTCATTAAATATCTCAGACGCAGATTTTTGTGTCGTTTTGCTGATGCTCAAGGTGCACGTCTGCAGACCTGGTGTCTGAGACGGGGGGCGCCCTCTGTTGGTTGTCAGTAGATTACATTCAGTGTTTAAATGTGTTCACATTTGATTTTTGACTCGCAGGCTGCGTCGAGTGAGGAGGTGCAGAGGTTCATGTTTGATCTTTTATTCTGCAGATTTGCGGCGCCGGCTCCTCAGTCTGATCAGCTGTTTTGCCGGAGGCGTGTTTTTGGCCACCTGCCTGCTGGACCTGCTGCCGGACTACCTGCAGAGCATCAATGAGGCCTTCAGCAACGCCGGCATCACGGTGAGACGGCAGACTGACTCTTTACTCAGCGGCCTCTACCATCGGTGTGTGAATGGATGAGTTAATACTGATGGACTCTTTACTCAGCGGCCTCTACCATCAGTGTGTGAATGGATGAGTTAATACTGACGGACTCTTTACTCAGCGGCCTCTACCATCAGTGTATGAATGGATGAGTTAATACTGACGGACTCTTTACTCAGCAGCCTCTACCATCAGTGTGTGAATGGATGAGTTAATACTGATGGACTCTTTACTCAGCGGCCTCTACCATCAGTGTGTGAATGGATGAGTTAATACTGACGGACTCTTTACTCAGCGGCCTCTACCATCAGTGTGTGAATGGATGAGTTAATACTGATGGACTCTTTACTCAGCGGCCTCTACCATCGGTGTGTGAATGGATGAGTTAATACTGACGGACTCTTTACTCAGCGGCCTCTACCATCAGTGTGTGAATGGATGAGTTAATACTGATGGACTCTTTACTCAGCGGCCTCTACCATCAGTGTGTGAATGGATGAGTTAATACTGATGGACTCTTTACTCAGCGGCCTCTACCATCAGTGTGTGAATGGATGAGTTAATACTGATGGACTCTTTACTCAGCGGCCTCTACCATCAGTGTGTGAATGGATGAGTTAATACTGATGGACTCTTTACTCAGCGGCCTCTACCATCGGTGTGTGAATGGATGAGTTAATACTGATGGACTCTTTACTCAGCGGCCTCTACCATCAGTGTGTGAATGGATGATTTAATACTGACGGACTCTTTACTCAGCGGCCTCTACCATCAGTGTGTGAATGGATGAGTTAATACTGACGGACTCTTTACTCAGCAGCCTCTACCATCAGTGTGTGAATGGATGAGTTAATACTGACGGGCTCTTTACTCAGCAGCCTCTACCATCAGTGTGTGAATGGATGAGTTAATACTGATGGACTCTTTACTCAGCAGCCTCTACCATCAGCATGTGAATGGATGAGTTAATACTGATGGACTCTTTACTCAGCAGCCTCTACCATCAGCGTGTGACCTGCGGTGAGTCTCTGTAAACTTTGACCTCAGGTTAAAGTGAGACGACACACCTCTGTGCCGACAGATTCGCTGCTGCTCGGCTTCAAAACGCCTCAAACTGATTTTTCAGGGCAGCTAAAGGTTGATGCTAAAAAAGACACTGCTGGGAAACCTGTGGTGTGTGTGTGTGTGTGTGGAAGGAGGGGGTGTTTAACGGGAATCGCCTTCCTCCCCCTCAAATAACATTGAATTAACTTCCAGCTGCTTCAACAGGCAGAAGTTATAACTGTGCTAACTGTGTGTGTGTGTGTGTGTGTGTGTGTGTGTGTGTCTGTGTGTGTGTGTCTGTGTGTGTGTGTGTCTGTGTGTGTGTGTGTGTCTGTGTGTGTGTCTGTGTGTGTGTCTGTGTGTGTGTGTGTGTGTGTGTGTGTGTCTGTGTGTGTGTGTGTGTGTGTGTGTGTGTGTCTGTGTGTGTGTCTGTGTCTGTGTGTGTGTGTGTCTGTGTGTGTGTGTGTCTGTGTGTGTGTCTGTGTGTGTGTCTGTGTGTGTGTGTCTGTGTCTGTGTGTGTGTGTGTCTGTGTGTGTGTGTGTCTGTGTGTGTGTGTGTCTGTGTGTGTGTCTGTGTGTGTGTGTGTGTGTCTGTGTGTGTGTGTGTCTGTGTGTGTGTCTGTGTCTGTGTGTGTGTGTGTCTGTGTGTGTGTGTGTCTGTGTGTGTGTCTGTGTGTGTGTGTGTGTGTGTGTGTGTGTGTGTGTCTGTGTGTGTGTGTGTCTGTGTGTGTGTGTGTGCGTGCGTGTGTGCGTGTGTGCGTGCGTGCGTGCGTGCGTGCGTGCGTGCGTGCGTGCGTGCGTGCGTGCGTGCGTGCGTGCGTGCGTGCGTGCGTGCGTGCGTGCGTGCGTGCGTGCCTTTCTCCCCACACTTCCTGTCTCTCACCACATGGTGTCTGATGTGTTTTCTTCAGCACTCATTGTTTTCTGAAGCTTTTATTCTAAATTAACAGTTTACACATTCGTTTGTCAGATCCAATTAATTCCTGTTTTCAGAATTCATTTTTTGTACGTTCCCTCAATCAGTGACTTAACGTATCGTATGCAACTTCAGCCTCTCGGGTCCTTATTTTATTCCTGTTTCTCTGCCTGACCAGCAGATGGCGACACAGCTAGAAGATTGCTTGTGAAGATAGTGAGCAACACAACATGTAGCTGCTTTAACACCTGCAGAAAACCTCCTGATATTCTCACTCTGAGCGTCATGTGATCACTCAAACATCTGAATGTTTCTCTCTTCACTCTGAGCGTCATGTGATCACTCAAACATCTGAATGTTTCTCTCTTCACTCTGAGCGTCATGTGATCACTCAAACATCTGAATGTTTCTCCTCCAGCCTCCTCGTGTTTATTCACAGAAAGTCAGAGTGAGCTGATGTGAGAACAACCAGGTCAGGAGGATTTCTGGGTCGATCCTCCTGATAGATATTTTCAAGAGTTCAATTGATGAAACATCTTCATTCTGCATATTTTAAAGCTCCTGCTGTTTGTGTTGATTTTGGCGCCCCCCTGTGGACATATGAGTCATGTTTTCCTATTTTCTTCTAACAGTCAAGCCGTCTTCTCATCGCTGTGTTTAAAATGTAAACTTAAGTCTGTTTCTGCAGCGTGTCGGTGACCGCGCCTCACATCGAGCCGTTTAAATAACGTCATTATAGAAATAATCCGACTTGTACCAGATGATGTTGTTTGTGTTTGTAGCTCCTAAACAGACATCAGTTATGATTTCATAACCAACAGGACTGGATGTCGTGTACTTGAGGTTTCTCTTATCAGTGTCCTGAATCCTCTTTACATCCGCTCGTTTCCTCTCCTCAGCACTTCCTCCTGTGTTCACAGAGATAACGACATGTTTACATCATCACGCCTTATATTACCAGAAATTCATAAAACAGTTCATTATATTTATATCTTATTTAAAGGTGATTCTCAGTTTAGTTCTGAGTCAGTTTGTTGAGTAAGAATCCGGCTGTGGAACCGAGAACGTATTGTGTTTAATAGAATAGAATAGAATAGATGTTTATTGCCATGTGCTCAGGTACAGGACAGTACAGGTACATTGGAATTCTTGTGTTTCTCCCTGAGTTAGCTTCTACAAAAAAGTTAAAATTATATATAAAATAGAAAAGCATTATAAGAAAAAAAGAGTAGAAAAGTACAAATAAAAAAAATACAATAAAAAAAAGTTGTAGTAAATTAAAATAAACTGTACAGAAGTTATACACTGTATTAAAGCAAAGATATAATACAAACAAATAACAAAGGGGAACACTGTACAATGAAATGAAAATATAAATAAGTTTAATCCAAACTTCAAATCACAAAAGTCACCAAGAACACAAACTGACTGAAGGAGAGGAAGTCAAACGACCTCCACGTTCTGGTAGATTAAATCGTGGTTATTCTCCGTGTGGTGTGTTTGTGGGGAGCGATGTGACGGCTGTTTGTGGTTCAAATAAATCCTCTTCCTCTGTCATAGAAACGTCTTCCTCTGCAGGGACCCTTTCAGTCATGTTGTCATACACTAGGCCCAGTTCCCCCAGTACTGTGTTGAATCAGCGTCGGTGGTCAGTGAGAGGGAGCTCTCTGATTGGCTGTTGGGAGGTTTCATTTCTCTCCAGCTCTCCTCTCAGGTTCAGTAAAGCCTCTTGAGCATGTCTCTGTAGTCTCCATGCTTTCACCCATTAGTGAGGTTTCTCCTTATTTGTCTCCTCCTCCTCTTCTTTTCTTTTTCCACTAAAAGACCAAGAGCTGACAACGCCAGCGCCATCTTCTACTTTTTATCAGACTCCATTAGTAGACGACCTATAATACGAGAGGTGACCGACAGCGGTGTGAAAATGGTCTTCTTGTATCATAAACAACGGACTACTGCCCCCTGCTGGCATGGAGAGTTATTTCCTCTCACTGCAGATCGTACGTGGTGGTTGGCCGTCGGCTGTAGTCTTTGCGGTGTGTTCAAGTGCAACTTTTTGACCAAGACAAAAGGCCTTCGACGCCACTAGTTGTTTGCCGTCTGCTCGGTGTGTCAGAGTCTTAATGTTGAAGAGGTCACCGTGCTGAGGCCCGGTTAGTCCTGGAGCAGTGTGAGTGCAGGCCAGCGGGGGGAATGTGGAGGGGGGGACCTCGCGTGAGTGCGCCCTGACACTCCTGGCGGCGGTCGTTCATGTGTCATGTCCACGTTGTGTATCTGTCCGTACTGCACACCTTCCTACCTTCCACCTTCCAGGGCGAGGAAGTGTATCGTGCTTCAGACCGGTACGGAGCCATCACACCAGTCCAACAAGCCGGACTTTGGGGGGTCAAACGTGCTCGGACAACGAATGGTTAATAATAATAATAATAATAATCTTTATCAAAAACAAGTGCTTTACAAGGACCGCAAATATAAAAACAGGTCATAGAACAATAAGCAAGGCAAGATTAAGAAATAAAAATCACTTTTAAAAGAACTTTAAAATACAAACAATTCTTTTAAAGGAATTCTAAAAAGTGAAAATAGTAACAATTTAAAATCAACACAAAATCAGGAAAGGCTCGCTGGGTGTGTGTCACACTAGAATAACAATGTGAGCCTGTGAGGGACAAAAACAACAACTTTGAGTGGATGAACTGTGGAGTATTTGTTGTTTCATGCAGGTTGAAGCCGATGATGCCAGAATTTAAAACTTTATGAGTAAAAATCAAACGATGTGGAAACATGTTTGATACCACGGCAACAGAAGAACGAGGGAACAAATATTTGATAATCTCTCGGTTCAATTATCAAAAAATTCCTTTTTTCCAAAAGTTCTGGATCTCATTTTGAGCCCCAGATCTCTTCAGAAGCGTGTAAATATAACGGACATCTTTGTGGTCAAACTGACTCCTCCCCCTCTCCTTTCAGCTCCAGTTCCCTCTCCCAGAGTTCATCGTCGCCATGGGGTTCTTCCTGGTCCTGGTCCTGGAGCAGATCATCCTGGCCTTCAAGGACCAGTCGTCGTCGGTGACGGAGGAGCGTCGGGCTCTGCTGGTGGAATCCAGCGTCCAGGCCAACGGGCGTCCCCACTCCCACTCGCACCGCCGCGGCTCAGACGACTCCAACGCCAGCCACTTCCACGTGGACTTCAACTCGCAGTCGGCGCTGCGAGCCTTCATCCTGGTCTTCTCGCTGTCGCTGCACTCAGTGTTCGAGGGTCTGGCGGTGGGCCTGGTGGAGGAGGGGAAGGA